AACCTTGTTACTTATCTCGTCATTAGTGTATACTATTATTTCTTTATTAGTTAGTGACTCGAGAAGAAGACGCGGCCGTCACTTATAGGAAACTACTATACGACTAGGATGCCGATTTTCGACCTCTAAGTTGATCAGATTTTCGGCGTCTATAGCCTAATACGCGATATTAATGCGCTTTCTAAGCTAGGCCGTATCGCCTCGGTTAATGTAGACGGAGAGGAAGAATCCCACGACGAATAGCTTAATATCGAGAATCTAAGATTACCAGTTAGTACCTAGTGATGATGGTGACTATACTCTATCGTACTCGATCCCTATCCTCATTTAATAAGTCCTTCATTATATCAGCTACCTAGGCGGTATATACTAGAGTAATCAGTCGAAACGTTTAACATCATAGGACAAGATTCATAAGGCTTACGCTCGGAATCGATTTCCTAGAAAAGACGTATCCTTTAGGTCTTGATCCCACCGCTTCGATACCCTTCTAGAAGCTATATAATATAAGCGATCTAGCCGGCGATGCCGATGTCTATAGCGAATAACATGACCGTTTCATATAATTCGAGGCTTAATTCTCTTCCGTATGGTCCCTTAATTAATGCTCTCCTCTTAGAGTACTAGCTAGGGTCGTCACTAGCGCTAGCGTATATACGTAGGTCGTTTATAAGACCTCTCCTTCTCTAGACGATGAGAACGACGTAATCATTCCCTTAATATTAGTACCACTAGGTAACGTAAAATAGGTGCGACTATACAAAAGAGGTGTAAGTCAACCCGGGAATATAGAGATATACGTACTAACCGGCGCGGTACCGCTACGGTCTTAATAGTCTAACGTATACGTAGATAACGTCGGAAACTAGTATATCCCTAGAAGAGTCCCTCTTAAAAATAACCGATCGTATTACGGCTTACCCGACCGGCGTTCTATACTTGACGTTTCGATATAGGACTTCTCTAAATCGCAGTCTACGAATCAAAATTTAAAGATAGATCGCGGAGAGTAAATATAGGGTCGGCGTTACTGTTAGTCTTTTAGATTTACTGTAGATGAATAATATAGCGATTAATGCAGTAGTAAGTATTAGATGAAGTTTGAGGAAGATTTCGTAGAAACGGTCGCGGACGCTTAATAGGGAATAAAGGACTAGTGTCACTATAGTAGCTATAGCCTATAGATCTCTATCAGCTTATCGCCCCCTTCTTCCCAGGGATCAGAACGTAAACTCACTATCAGCCCTGCGATGTCCGGGAGTATATGTAAATCGGGCATCTATAAAGATACCGCCGCGATGATATAAATAAGACCTTTAACTACGGCTACCCTTCCTAGCCATCGGTAAATACGGCTATAAATATCGAGTCTAATCCTACAGGCGTTAGTTAGGAAGTTTATATAAGCCCCTCCGGATAGGGGGATAAGGTTAATTATAGAAATCACTCCGGAGCGTCTTCTTAGCCCGGCGGTATCTTTAACCCGAATCGTCGTAGAGTAAACTATCCCGATTAAAAAGATGATCGTTAGTAGGAGGTTAAACCGAGTCGTTTTCTCCGAGCCCCTTAAAACCTTAGGAATTTAAGGATAGTATACGTACTTAAGAAATTAACGTTTTACATAGGTACCGATTTTCTTAATCTGAAATTTCGCTCCGGGGCTAATTTTCTTGAAGATTATTAGGAGTGAAAAGCTGATGATATAAAGAGTAACGAGCCTACCGAGGGTAGTTACGTACTACTGTATAATATCTATAGTGATATTATAGGGTAGTGTAAGCTAGATATTAACGAAGAAAAGTAGTGTAGAATCCTTATTATATAATGTTATTCGATTTAGCTAATAATGAAAAGGGGGGTTCCCGAAATGGGGACCCTTCCTACCTATACGCTGTCGATATAAATCCGCTACCTCTATTTCCTACTGCCGTAGATATCCTTCGCATTCCAAGACTATAGTGATGGCCAGACTATCGATTAAACTTTATAATAAAAAGCTTAGACGACGGCTAGGAGGGCTTAAGAAGAAAATATATAAATACGGCGAACTGGAGGATATCGAGCTTACGTTCCTTATCCGTAATCGAGTTAAAGGGACCCTCTATTACTATACATCGAATGAAGAAGTGTTATCGTAGCTGAGTTTAGACATTATAAGTTAAACGCTCGAGATATATATACATGTATATTTCTAACCTCTAAGAAGCTCTCTTATCCTAAGTCCGAACACGAAGGCTCATCAGATATAGAATACTTTATTCGGAGGCAGCGCCTCGGTTCTAGCGGTATAGTTAAGAAAAAATCGGTGGTTTTACTACTACGTACTAATAAAGAATCGAAGGCTAATAAGCTAGCGTCGGATGAAACTGTATAAAGATTAACTTAAAGGTAAGTACGTACTATTCTAGACCCGCCGCCGTTTAATTTAAGTATTTTAAGGAATAGGAAATGCTAGAAAAGATAATAGTAGTCCCGATAGAACTCGGCATACATTTCTAATAATTTACTCATTATATAAGTCCCTACTTTTGATTTAGGGGGTGAGGCGGAGATGATGATCTATATAGATAGGACCACTTAGATAAGGATAGACTGTTCGTTTACTCTCCATTTTTTCCATTTCTATTCGCTTACCTTCATCTATCTATCGCGTAAGTTAGTAATAATGTAAGGTAGGTTTAGTATACCTATTTATAGTAGGGGGTGACTCCTCTCTCATTAGGACTAGCCGGCCCTATGCGCGCTTCGGTTAAAAATATACGTAGAGAGAGTCGCTAGCTACCTTAGCTCGGCTACTTAAGGAACTCTCTCCGGGCAGTTTAGGAGTGTCGGTTAGATAGGCGCCCGCTTCGAAACCGTCGCCGCGGTGATAGTAGTAATGGACCTCGACTAAAAATTAAGGATGATAATGCTCCCATCGCTTACTGTACGCTCGTATACATTCTAGTCTAGAATATATCCTAGGTTCCGGGATTTAGTCCGGTAGTAAAGGGTATTATCTTTAGTATTTTCGAGATCGAGGTTTACTATAAAGGGCGTATAGGTGTATTTAACCTCCTTAGATAAGGCGGGTATAGGTTTAATCTAGAGAAGTTCGAGGACTTATTAACTTATTCGTCTTCTAAATGCTCATTCTCTACACCTACTAAGGTAGTAAAATAGAATTTATTATGATAACTCTAACGTCCTTTCCTAATGGTACCTTACGCTCGAGACCGTAAGGTGTTCTACACTACCAGTTAATTTAGATTTACTAGAAGCCATAGTAATTATGGTAGCGTTTACGCTAGACTGGGAGGATAACCGGTTGGGACCCCCGTTTAGTCTAAGGAGCCCAATTCTAGAGACTATCTAAGAGTAGCCCTATTTCCCGTTTCCTAGACTAAGACCAGAATCTAGGTGTAATCTAGGAGGGTCCCATTTTTCGTCTGGATTCCGATTTCGCCGCTGTAAGCCTAAGAGAGAATATATATCATTCCTCTAGAGGACTTTACACTACTATTACATTTCTTTAATCCGCATCCTCATCATAAAGCGCTATAACTATAGCCATTAGCTCGGACTTTATAGTTAGGGTAGTAAAGTCGCCCTCTTAGCGACGGATAGGCTTCGCACTCTTACGAAATATATCTAATATCCTGATGTCTAGAAGCCTAGCTTACTTATACTAATTAGGAATGTAGTAAAATTAGTCGCCCTTCGGGAACTTTTTAGTGTGAAGCGGGCTTCTAGGTTAAGAAGTAAGTAGAGTACCGATAGAGTCTACCTTTATCTCGACCCTTCCATAATTTTCCCCGGTAAACTAATCTTCCTAGCGGACCTCGATTTACCTAGTCAACCTTTAAAGATAAAGTCAATCCTAAGAGAGAAGTACTATAAGATAATAAGCTATGCTATTAAATGGATTACTAATGTATTAGGCGTACCGCCGAGCGATCTCGCCTCCAGGATCTACGTACGTCTACTATTCCCCTTTACTAACGTTTTCTACTTCTTCTCCACTAATCTAGGCGGTTTTCGACAGATCGCGATCTAGTTAGCGGTATAGCTAGAGAAAGGTACCTCATCGACCCTTCCCAGATCTACGCACCTAAGGGTAATTATCATCAGTGATAAAATACCTCCTAGAACTGTAAGCGAAAACGAGGCTAAAAGGGCATTTTTATAGATGCTCTACGAGGAGACGACCGAAGACCTACACGAATAGTTTTCGGATATCAGTGTAGTAGCGCTTTTCCCTACTGGTTCGATGTCCGTCGAAGGTCGACATCGACGACTAAAAGAGCGACTTCTCGATGCATTAGATCACATCCGAACGACGAGAGATGAGATACGCTACCTATTCTCTATAACTTATTTCGGGGCTCTATTCGAGTATGTACGTATACACCTCGCTAAAACGCTTAAGTAACCGTTCAGCTTTATTAAGGCGTCGAGGACGTATAACCTAGTTACCCCGGACCTGGGGGAACATCTACTAACGTTTCTTAAATACGTTAGAACGCCTATCGAGCTAACGGAGTTCGCAGTTCCGATTATCGCCTCTAGCTTCCTTCTAGACAGTTATCCTCCGGACGCCTACAGTAAGCCTACTTCCTACCCTATCCGAGAGTAGTGTATTTTCTAACAGTCGTATAGTATTCGATCTACGAAGCGTTTTTCAGGTCTTGTATAGGGATACCCTACGTAGGTTAAGTAAGTCTCGCGTACTAACCTTCGATGAATCGAGGGACGTAATCCTCGTAAGTAGCTTTATTAATTTAGTCGAGGATTAATTTATCGAATATTTCGGGTAATCCATTTAGCGAGGGGGTAAAGCCTCGGTAGAAATTCACAGAGAGAACCTTAAGCGCTTCTAGGACCGCTAGCTAAGTATCCGAAGCGACAGTACCTATTTCTCTTGTTTACGCCGTAGACCTTAATATAACTAGTACTGTAGCTACTACGTCTATTAGACTTATATAATGAATTTTAGCGATTAGAGCTCGGATGATCCCTAGGACTTTAAGGTACGTCGATGCTCCCTATATAATATCTTACTACCTAGAGAGATGGTCGTTAAAGTGTATCCTCCTATAGCTGGAGCGGGAGTCCTATATATTAACGGAGGTAGGATACGCGCCGTAATACCGCTAGAGATCATAAAACGAATACGGGATCGTATTAATTTACCGATTCCCTTTCAAAAGTTCTTTAAGCTCGCTTTTAGGGTGAGTTTAGGTTAGTTTCTCTACCGCTTTAGGGAGTTCGATACTAACGATTTAAGGGGGTTTGATTATCCTAGCTATGTTCTATAAGGGGTAGTTAATTAAACGGTTATTAGACGTATTTAAATAATTAGTAAAGTATACTTTTAAGCGCCGGAAAGGTTTAGGTATCCCCCTTCTTTCTCGTCTTCGGGAGCTTATAGGGTCGTATTTAGCCGACGGCCTTTATACGGCCGAAAATATTAAAGGCGCCTTAAAAGAGGTATTTAGTACGGAGGGGAGCATTCTCGACTATTCGTACGTAACATTAATAGGGACGAGGATCGGTTTACCTATCGCTACGGTTTACGATAGGCCGTCGTATCGTATATTCACTAATTATAATAGTGTTAGAATATAGGATCGATACCTAGGTGAGCCCGTAGAGCGCTCGCCTACTGAAGTAGCTGACGAGGCTATAGACTAAGTCATCAAACCGAAAGACGGTCTCGGAAGAGTGCCCGTTTGGGAGATGTAAGTCTTTATTAACCTACCTATAGGTACTACTAATACTTAAATAGAGTACGATCAGCCTTAGCGGCGCCTAGGTATGCTACCTAACCCTTCTCCGTAGAGTTACTAACTATCTTATAGCTTTTTCCCGCCGAAGTACATCGATAAAGTTAGTACGTTTTAGGATACGGGTCCTCTAGAGAACGATCTACTTATTTCCGCTCTATCCGAATTCACTTTAGCGTTCCCGTTAACTAAAGAACTAGACTTTATTATTTCTCTAGGCACTAGCCAGCCGAAGAGTAATACGACGTCTACTATACTTATAGCCTATCCGTAGAAGAATAAAGCATTACCGAGACTATATCGTTTATTCTAGGAGAAGATGCGCGATAAGAAGGTCAGATAGGCTTTCTAAACTAATCCCCGATATTACCGTCTCGACGTTAAATTCGACCGAGTAGAACCTAGGTTAGATGATACGAAGACTATATCCGAGCTAAGGTTAAAAGTTCAGGTCGACGACTTACTATCTAGAACGATTAATAGTATCGCCCGCTATATACTTACCTCCCTATTTTACTTTGAATTAGAATCTATACTAGAGAAACTTAACGGTAAGTTTATAGCGGTCGGTTACATCTAATGCTCGGAGCGTCGTCGGGGCGAAGCATTTTCTCTCTTACTTCACCGGTTATTAGATTACTCTACTATATTTTTCCTGGACGAGCACCCAGTTATAGGAAACTTTAGCGACAGCTCCTTCCTCGACGCGGACGGAAACTTTCGAAAGCGTGTAGAGCTGAGCGTCTCGGATAAATTCACCGTACGCCTTAAATAAGGCCGTTCGGAGCCGTATAACATTAGCGGCTCGCTATACTTACTATAGAAGCTAATACTGGTATAAGACCTTACCGCTTACTTAGGAACGGCGAACTACCGGAAGAGGAAAAGGGAATGGGCCTACGGATAATGTACAATAAAAAGGCGGCGTGTAAGCGGGGCTGACGTAGATTGAGCCTTACGGTAGGTTTAGTAGGCTCCGAACGTCCGCCTCGCGAATAGAAGGATGGACGGCGAAATAGTGGGGTCGACTAACTCGATCCGCCGCGTAGTCTCTAGAAAGCTATAGTAATATACTAAATTCCAGGTTAACCTATAGAGAGTTATAAGGCGGTATCTAAGAAAAGACGAATAATTAGTATAGCTATCATCTTTTACGTATTAAATAAGTCTAGCTAATTAGAGGTCCCCGATAAATTTTATCGGGGACTTTTAATTAGCTATTATAGGGTTAGGGTTAAATCCATGTAGATAGACATTAGCCTATACGTATCCTCCGCTTTAAGTTAATTTTAGCGATATATCACCGCCTTACGATCTATAGGTAGGTCTAGTTTAATGATCGAGGGTAATTCTGACGTTTCGAGGTATATATAAGTAAGACGAAATTCACCTTAGGGGTGAGGAAGGGGCGAACGCGATTAGTACGTAAGTAACACGCTAAGACTGTTCTATATTAGTTCCTTCGCCCTATCGCGTATACGGGCTATAACTCCGTTAAGGGAGTTATAGCGCGTATAGTTCTAGTCTACTTATATTTTACTAATCGCCATATCTAGCCGTTCCCGTATACATTAACCTTTCTACCCGTAACCTATAGAGACGGGCGAATCTTAAATAATCCGCTCTTAACACTACGTAAGTTTCGGATCGTCATCCTTCTGCTATATTAAATGTCGAGGAGAGAATTTAATGTATGGAAGAGATGCTCTAAAAGCTCGTGATTATAGTAGATAAGTATCTACTCCGGCCCAGGCACCCGTCCGCTAAATCGCGTAAGTAAAGCCAGTCGCCCTGGAATACGATCCGGCCTATACTTAAAGCGCTAGTGAAGGATGTTAAGTATGTTAAAGTAGTTATCGAAGGATCAGATGTTAATACGGGTCACGATCGAAACACAGGAGCTTATAACCGAAACATGCCTCCGGAAGCTATATTACAGGTCTTGACTCCACTACATGAGAGACAGTAACTTGGGGAACCCTCTATAGACACCGCAGTACTAACTACTGTTCCAACCACTATTCTAACTACTGTTCCAACCACTGTTCATACTACTGTCGAAGCCCCAGAAGTCGAAGAAAATACTACAGTAGACGTAACTATACTACGCCGTTTACGCGAGCCTATCTCGTCGACCATGCCTCCATCCGATGCTTTAATATACAGCGTATCTGAAATTCCTCGGAATCCTAGCACTATCGTCTCTTATCGAGAGGAGTACGGCATTATCGTTCTAATGCTATTAAACATAGATTAGTATCGCGACACCCGCTTTCTTCTCTCGTAGGTCGAGATACTTAGTGCGCGGTAAACGGGAATATTTAAGTACGTCCTACTAGGTGATTTTAATCTTAGCGTAGAGGCTGCCTACAGCGTTACGACATTTATCTCCAGCTTTACGTCTAGTCTCGGTTAGGACGACATTTTTTATATTTCGCGGTAAGAGAAACTAGAGACGCTAGACATTAGCTATACCGGAACTATACCTATAGAGCTAGATGAATTAGCCGAAATGTTAGAGCGTCGTCTTACCGACCTAGAAGCCGTAAGTAAGATACGCTACTGTACGGATACTCCGGCCTAGACGGCCGAAGATCGACGACGGCTGGGCTTACCTACGGAGTCCCTAATCTAGCCCTTAAAGGATAACCTATTAGATTATATAAAGTATATCGTTAACGGGCTCCATCGGTCGTATGGATATTTATCAGGCGAGGGCGGGTCTATCTTTACTATACATCGTAAGGACGTAAACTTAATATCGTTAAATGCCCTATACAGTAGAAAAGAAAAATCCTAGTGTACCGTAGCTTAGAGAGATAGCTACCTCGTCGAGAATGTAGTGAAAGGTGGGAAATGCGCGTAGAGAGTACGATACGCCTCTCGCTAGATCCCGCGATTGAAGCTTAAGGCTATAGGGGCTTCCTTTATTACATTCGTTTAACGTCCGGGCGAGGTCGTCCTAGTATAGGGAGATATCTACTATTAAGGAGGTACCGTTAGTCCGACTACCGCCGAAGCCGTAAACTATAGCGGCTCCGAGTAGAGTATTAAGGGCTACTCCGATTATAGCCGTACTTATCCCGGACCCCCTATTTCGAACGCGCTCTTAGAGTTCCGTAGCCTAAATAAACTATAGCGCGAATAAGATGACGTAGTCTCTACGAGATCTTATAGCTCGGTCTAGTCCGAAGGATACAAGAAGCTAGCTAGAAACCGTCGACCGGCGTAGACCCGGAGCGGTAAGACCGCGACGATAGAGTTTAGGATCGATAAGTAGAAAACGGGACTCCGAAAGAGGTACGGAGACGTCTAGACCGCCCAGTAGTCTAGAAAAAGGGCTATAATTCGGACTATACCTAGTCCAGCCGATACGATTATGACTGAAACTAAGGATGTCGCCGATCTTATCTTATAGATAGTCGCGGCTATTTAGAGTAGAGATGTAATTAAGTAGTTCTTCGATATCGTCTAAGGTCGTCGAGATACCGAACTAGGATTTAGAATGAATTCTATTATAAGTCCTTCTAAAAGATAAATCTAAAGCGAAGATCCTACCCGAATGGTCGAGAACGATATAAATGTCATTAGTATACTCTCTCGTAAGACAGCCTTTCATAGCTTTCTTACTCGGTTATTCTAAGTCCGTCTTACCGATCATGTCGATAAGCTTAAGGGCGACCGTCTAAGGAGTGAGATAACCGTCATTATGGACATCCTTCGGCGTACGGGGATGTCGAATCGCTAGTACTTATACTACCGAGAGAAGGGCGAGAAGTAGCGGAAATATCACAAGGCCTTTCCCGGTATCCTTTACTTCATCCCCGTTAGAAATCGACGATCTAGTTTTTCTTTAAGCTCCTAGCTTAACCTCAACGAAAGAATATTTACCTTCCTATATTCTCGTCTAGACGACGAGTATACGTCTACTCTCTACGTCGCGGGGAGAGCATTCGAATACTTATTAGAGCTAATAGTAGACGATGTTAATTTCATCTGGGAGAGTTAGAATGTATCTCTAGATAAAATTTCGAAGGTAAAGTTGCTCTCTACTCTAGAGCTCTTCCTAGTAAAGTACGAAAACGTCTATAATCCTAATACGTACCTAGATTAGCCTAGACTAGACGAATAGCCCGACGATTCGCCGTAGCCGGTTAATCTAACGTCTCTACCTCCTTCTAGTAGGGTTAAGTGTAAGGTATATTATTAGAGTAATTACCCGTACGAATTATACTATAGGGGAGATTACTAGTGTACCGCTATCCGTCATAAGATATAGCCTCGCATCCGGAACTATACCCGTAAATATTAGGATAAGAACCGAGGCTTATAAGCCGTCGCGTAGGAAGCGGGCTAAATCGTGTATTCGGAGGGCGATATTATCGGCTTCATTACCGGCGAATTATCGCCTCCCGATATATACGCTAACGGTCGATATATATAAGTAGACCGGAGCGATATTCTTAGCGAGCCTATAGTCGCCCAGATAAATAGTGCTAAGTGCGGCAGTATCTATAGGTTAGCTAATAGCAGCTATAATCCATCGGCCCGCTTCAGGGGGATAAGGGTATCGGGGAAGTTTAGGATTACAATCGTTACTACCCGAAATATCTTTGACGGGGAAGAGATCACGGTCTACTACGGTAAAAGATATTAGGGAAGGGTAAAATGTCGATGTCTAGTATGCCGAGCCCGTCTACTCTAGGCGTTATACTTTATATCGCCTAAAACTAGTAACTTCCTCCCGTGGCTGGAACGGAGACCTATCTATCTGTCGATCGGTATTAGGGCCCATCACGTTACTACTATGACCCTATCCTCGGAACAAATGGTATAAGCCTACATTAATTAGTACGTAAATCTTCGATTTTCCCTAGATAACTTTGAATGACCCAAATTATCGCTCCTACAGATCCCCACCACGGTGGCTTCGAGCTTTTCATATCTCCACAACAACCTCAAGGCCGTAGTTGCGAACCTCCAGATATATTTAAGCAGTAGCCGGACCATGTACAAGTGGATGGTTAAA